GAACTGCTGTACAATATAATTACCTTATTAGTCAATGTTTCAGCACTGCTGGCCTTTATCAAGGGTGTACAAAAGTGTGTTTGAGTGTTTGAACATGTTTGACTGTGTGTCTGTTTGACACTGTGGGCATGTGTCTGTCTGACATTGTGCATTAGGGCATTTGTGTGCCCAAAGGAGTGTTTGTAGCTAAAATTGTGTACCTGTGTGTATGATCATGATTGTGGGCCTGACACTATGTATGTGTTTTTGGCAATGTGTATATGTTTATTCTGGTAGAGTGTACATGTATTTGTGTGCATTGCAAGCAGTATGTATCTAGATGGGGGGCCAGGTCAATTTTTTTGAAGGGGTCCATAGGTTTCTAATGGCAGTACATATCTATCTAGCTAAACGACTACATTTCATATTGTTTTTCAACACTACAAACTTGTTCACTGATCAGCAACTTCATTAAAACCACCTGCCTAATATTATGTATGTCCTCTTGTGATGCCAAAACAGCTCTGATGCATTGACTCAACAAGACCTCTGAATGTGCACCAATACATTAGCATACATTAGCAGAGGGGGTATACTGGGAAGGGGGTGATAGTGTGGAGGGATACTGGAGGGAGGAGGTAATGGTGTGAGGGAGGGTTATACTGGGATGGGGTGATAGTGAGGGTTACTGGGAGGGAAGGGGTATACTGGGAGGGGGTGATAGTGAGGGGGTTATTGGGAGGGAGGAGTAATGGAGGAGGAGTGTTTATTGGGAGGGAGTTGATAGTGAAGGGTTTACTTGGGAGGGGCACTGGGAGGGGGTAATAGTGAAGGGGTTACTGGGAGGGAGGGGGTGATAGTGTGGGGATACTGTGAGGGGTGATAGTAGAGGGTTACCTGGAGGGAGGGATACTGGGGTATAGTGAAGGGGTTACTGGGATAGTGAGGGGTTACCGGGGAGGGTGATAGTGGGCTAATGGGAGGGAGAGGCATACTGGGAGGGGGGTGATAGTGAGGGGGGTTACTGGTAGGGAGGGGTACTGGTGGAGGGATGGTGTGTGGGATAGTTACTGGGAGGGAGAGTGGTGATAGTGAAGGGGTTACTGGGAGGGAGGGGGTGATGGTGTAGAAGAAGCTGGGGTATACTGGGAGGAAGCATAGTGAACTGGGAGGGAGGTGGTAACTGGGAGGGTTAGGTTACTGGGAGGAGGAGGAGGTGGGAGAGGGTAATATTGAAGTGAGGGGCCACTGGGAGAGTGATAGTGGGAGGGGAAGTGTGGTGGAGAGTACACTGGGGGCGATAGTGAGGGGGTTACTGGGAGGGAGGGGTAATGGTGTGAGGGAGGGGGTTTACTTGTAGGGGGTGATAGTGAAGGGGTTACCAGGAGGGAGGGGGTATTTTGGGAGGGGGTGATAGTGAATGGGTTACTGGGAGGGAGGGGGTGAAGGTGTGAGGGAGGCGGTATACTTGGAGAGTGGTGATAGTGAGGGGTTATTGGGAGGGAGGGGGAATACTGGAAGGGGGCAATAGTGAATGGTTTACTGGGAGGTGGATGATAATGGATGATAATGAAGGGGTTACTGGGAGAAAAGGGATAATGGTGTGAGGGAGGGGGTATACTGGGAGGCGGTAATAGTGAGGGGGTTACTGGGATAGAGGGAGTCATGGTGTGAGGGAGGTGATAGTGAAGGGATTACTGGGAGGGAGGGGGTAATGGTGTGAGGGAGGGGCTATACTGGGAGAGGGGGTGATTGTGTGAGGTAGGGGGTGATTGTGTGAGTAGGGGATTATACTGGGTGGGGGGTGATAATGGTGTGATGAAGGGGGTATACTGTGAGGGGGTTATAGTGAGGGAGGGGTAATGGTGGTCTGAGATGGGGTGAGATTAAATACTTTATTTAACTCCCTGGTGGTCCAGTGTCCTTCATTCTCTGGTGATCTGGTGGGCTTCCTGGTGGTCCGGTGGTGATGCAGTGTGCAGAGCTGTAGACCATGTGTCTCGCAAGACCCAGTCAGAGCGTTGCCGTGGTAATCCGCGGAAATGCTCTGATTGGCCAGATGTCACGAGACACATGGTCTGCAGCTCTGCACACAGCGGATCTGCAGATCAGCAGCCACGGTCGCTCTCCTCCCAGGCAGACAGCACCCGGTGGCATATCGAGCCAGCCGCCAGGTTCCTTAGGCTGCCCTAAGGTGGTTTAGGAGGCTGCAAGGCTCCAGCCAGCGCGAGGCCTTAGGCGGCTGCCTAAACTGCCTAATTATAGAGCCACCTCTGCCTATTAACAATGAACCATTCTGACTACTTGATAAATATTGTTTTTAATTATTTTTTCACATTTTTCTTCTACAGAAGCAATGTGGGCACCACACACATCATAAATCAAAGGTTACTAGAAAGCATTTAATGTTGCACCTGTCAGTATTTAGTCATGAGCAATGTCTTGCATGATAGTTCAGTTTGCTATTCATGCCATGCAGCCAAAGAGCCATATACAACTCCAATGTGTTACTTTAGGGCAATGCAAGTATGCTTACAGTTCACTACCTGCAATGTCCTAATGTCACTTTTGGCATCATTGTCCAAAGTGTGATTGTGATGAGGTGCCCTTTGCCACTTGGTCCTGGAGAGGCCTGCTTGCCAGCCTCTTGCCCTGTGATTATGGCCCTGTGGTGTATGGCCCTTTAAAAACAGTATATGGGCATATGAAGACTTTTTGTGACAATGTCCCTTTAAAACTGTTAAACTACTTTGTACATGTCATTTTCCTATTTGGTTCGGTAAATGGGGCTTACTGAACCAACTACCGACCAGGTGGACCACACAGAAGTGGAAGTGTGCAGCTAATTTACCTCCCAGGCTGGCGGTTAACCACAGGTTAATTGCCAACTGCTGGGGGGGGCCTCCGTTCGTGGAGTCGAACACGTGGCGACGGCCTTCTTTATTTAGTCGAACACGTCAAATTAATGGAACTAAAATCGGCTACAAAACGGCACGAGCACCGGTGAAGTTTTACCTTCCCTGGAACTAATGCATTCGACAATTCGAATGCCGTTTGACAATTCAAATGCCGTTCGACAGTTCATTCGATAATTCGAATGGTTGTCATTCATCTGTTCGACTTTAACATGGGAAATAGACCGGCCGCACAGCCTGATTCTGTGGAACAGTTATGGGCAGGAAAGCATGCTTGCAGTCGGTCATAAAGGACTTCCAGCTAACTTTTTAACCACTGGAGAGAATTGTCTGATTTTTGGGTATGTTTGATTTTGAAGTATGCTGATTAATAATATGTAACTTTTATGGAGATTGTATGTATATTTTGTGAGTTCCTGTTTTGACTCTCAACATAGAGCCTCGTCTCATGATTGGGGGATACGGCTGCATCTACACTGGGGGATTGCTATACTCTACATACTCCCCTAGCTATAATCACTAAGCTCTTTTAAGAGCTTGTTCCAGCTTCGCTCTCTGCAGGAAGAGAGGTTTGGTCTGCAGTGCTTATGGTGTCTGGAGAAGTGCTTGGAGCCCTCGGGAAGCACTTGGAGCATCCATCAACAGAGGTACTTGGTTGGAGTACTAGGAGCTCCGTTACAGTGATGATGTAGATCATAAGATTAAACTAGCTGAAGGGAGTTGCTCGTGTTGTGGTTGTCTACTAGACAGCCATTTGAAATGTGTTTATGACAAATGTAAACTCAGATATGGGACTATTTTACAGTTTCAGATGGCAGCAAATCTTTACTTGCACCAAAACATTAAGGTGTAGTGGTTTTTATGTTTAGAATGTCCTCTTAACACCTTGTGTCCTATATATGTAAATAAACTAAGGGATTTCCAAAGGTGATTGTATTATCTCCCTTTTAATATCTTTATAGATATATGATTTAGTAAAAAAAAAGCAAAAAACTATACAGGAATCATTTTTACTACTTTTTGATTTATGTTTTTTATGAGATCATGCTAAAGGTTGAAAGGGTTTAGAGACACTTCAGAGTGAGTAATAGATAATGCTAGATATGTAATTCCTCCTCCCATTTTACGTAATCACCTATAAGTGTTATACTGACAGATAGACTTTTCAAGTTTTTGGCCTTTTTCCAACACTTTGTCATGTCTACATCTGCTTTTGAACAGAAAGCGAAAGGTCCTGTACTTTATTTTTAACCAATATAGTGCCAGGATAATTTGGGAATTTGGGCCTAAAGAAGGCTGGGTTTTAAAGCATTTTGACATTGTTCACAGTGTTTATTATTATTATTATTATTATTTTTTACAAATGACCTAAATACCTAATTCAGCTTTAGAAGATAGATCATGTTTGCATTCACATAAATGTAAGTCATTATTTTGTATAAAAAACTGGGGAAGATATAATTTTTCCCCAATTTTGCCTATAATGTTTGTAACAAGTGGAACTGAAAGAGACACTATAGTCACCAAAGCAATTTTAGCTTAATGAAGCAGTATTAGTGTATAGATCATGCCCCTGCAGTTTCACTGATAATTTCCCTACAATTTAGGAGTTAAATAACTTTGTTTATGCAGCCCTAGTCACACCTCCCTGCATGTGACTTACACAGTGTTCCTAAACACTTCCTCTAAAGAGGCATCTAATGTTTAAACTCTCTGAACTGCAAATTCTATATAATAAAAAAATCTTATCTCCTGCTCTGTTACTAGCTTGTCAGACCTTGCAGGGGCCTCCTATTTGTGATTAAAGTTCGATTTACAGAGCAGGAACTAAAACCCTTTTTATTTTTTTTAATTTCTTGATTTTGGTAGTGCATTGCAGGACAAACAGAAATATGGAGACATTTCCAAGTAGTATAAATGAAAGTTCATAGGTATAGAGTCAGCAAGAAATGTCCTAATACTGCACTCTTTGTATAAGAAGTGAAGAGCAGGAGAAGAAACATGTCAATGTAGAAAGATCATGTGACATATAGAATACACGAACTGACAATATGAGTAAAGGACAGTAAATGGGTCAGGCTTTGTTAAATGACATAAGTAGCAGGATCACCACTGTATTCCACAAGTACACCATATTAGATAGCCCAGCTCCAGAACAGTCCCGCGACCCTCTCTCTTCACCGCCAGATAAGTCATGAAGCGCTCGGTTTCTTGGTGTAATCGGAGGAGGAAGGAAGGCGTCGGAATATGTTCTCCCAGCCCCAGGTCTGTATGCAGGCCAACGTTGTCGAGCTGCCATGGTGTCTTATCAGGGTCAAGTCTTTTCTGAAAATGACATGGTGAAAAGTGTGACGCTGCAGATGCTGCTGTTGGTGAGCCGTATTCCGACATCGCAATCGAAGCTGCCTTTGAGGCACTTGCCCCTGCATCCCCACCAGTGGCAGCGTGTCAGGGTCTCACCCAGCTGACCTTGGATTGGCTTTGTGTCGGAGTGAGTCAGGTTGAAGCAAGGTCACAGTGAAGAGGTTTGACATTTGTCGCTGGATTCGAACAGATGAGGCAATAGTGTTTGAGCGACGGGCTATACAAGCTCATAAGTCTTGGCACAGCTCTTCAAATTTGGTCTCAAATGTTTGGACCCAATCCTGACTCACTGGGCCTACATTACAGCGTAGATATTTTGTCGCGGAGACCATCTTTGAGTTGCCACGCAGTCTGTCTATCTTTAACTATGTGTACTATTTGTATACGTTACGCTATGAATATTTTTTACTTTTTTTTCCTTTTTTTGGGGGGGGTATTTCAAACTGATATTAACATTTACTGCCAATTGTGACTGGCTACTATACAGTTGACTGGTATATTATTTTTATCACCATCTGGTAACTAGTGTGACTCTTTCATATTTGTAAAGATGAAGAGGAACGGGAGTAAAGAATGTTTAGGTCTCAGGAGCAAAAAGAGAAGGGCATGAACCCAGATAAGTAGTAAGTAAGGGAAAAAGGAGCGTCTGATTGCCCCGGCCTACATGTAGTTGAATAGTTAATACTTGAATGGTTAATACTTAGTTTTTAATCATTAATTAATTAAAGGACACTATAGTGCAGGGGTAGGCAACCTTTTAGCAGCACTGTGCCGGTATAGGATTGTGATGTCCCGTAGCGTGCCGGTCCTATTTTTATTTTTATTTTTAAATTGAGGTGTGTATGCTGCCGTATTATGCTTGTGTTATTTATACTGTAATTGCTTTGAGCTATTATATTGTATATGTTCATGAGTAGATTGTGGTATCGTGTATGATACATATGAATGTGGGCTGTGTATGGGGGCAGCTTGTGGAATTGTGTGTGTGTGTGTGTGGATGGATATGTCACATTGTGTGTTTAGTAGTGTGTGTATGTGTGGGGGCTGTTTGGGGTATTGCATGTGAGAGGCTGCATGTGGGGTTGTGTGCATGTATGTGGATTGTTAGTGGTGCTGCGTTTGTGAGGATTGTGTGTATGTTTGTGAGGATTGTGTGTATGTTTGTGTGTGGGCTGTCCGTATTATTTGTATGAGGGGAGGGTCTTTCTGCATTTCTGTGTATATCTAGCAGTGTGGGTGGCTTCCCTGGTTTCCAGTAGAGACCATGTTGGCCAGGTACAGGTCAAGGACCGGAGCTGCAACAACTACTGTGAGCTGCTCTACTTCTGTGTGGATTCCCATTCACAAGTGCTGAAATGAAGTGCTCTGAGATCACTTCCTCTACATGCTGCAATGCATAAATTGAGGATTGTCCTTCACCATCTATTCGTATTAGCAGATATCCGAAGTTTTACTGGGACTTCTGAAAGGCCAGAGCCTGTTTGGCTCTAGCAGCCTTGAGTGCCGTACAAAGGCACCTTGAGTGCCGTGCATGGCACTAGTGCCGTAGGTTGCCTTCCCCTGCTATAGTGCCTGGAAAACAAACTCGTTTTCCTGGCACTATAGTGTTAATAGGTCCCCCCCACCCTCTGGGTCCCCCTCCCGTTGGGCTCTAGGTGGAGGAAGGGATTAAATTCTTACCTTTCTCCAGCTCCAGGCTCCCTCGGCGCTGGGGACTCTCCTCCCTCTTCAAATGTCATCGGCTGAACGCGCATGCGCGGCAAGAGCCACACGCGCATTCAGTCAGTCCACGGGAAAGTATTTCTCAATGCTTTCCTATGGACGCTGGAGTCTTCTCACTGTGAAAATCACAGTGAGAAGCGCGGAAGCGCCTCTAGTGGCTGTCAGTGAAACAGCCACTAGAGGCTGGATTAACCCTAATGTAAATTAGCAGTTTCTCTGAAACTGCTATGTTTACAGCAGGCAGGGTTAACCCTAGAGGGACCTGGCACCCAGAATACTTCATTGAGCTGAAGTGATCTTGGTGCCTATAGTGGTCCTTTAAAAAAGCATAAGGATTGTATGACCTCTAGTTATCAAAAGCCAAAAAAAATAGACTTAAGATATATATGTCGGTGTAGTGAACACAAAACACATAAATTCCTATACACAATATATATATACAGTGGTAAAGAAAAAGTAAAAAAAATCAAATGAAAGAAAAAAGTATGTACAAAACTATGTACAAAAAATGCTAAAGTTTACCCTGAAGTATAAGTAAAGTTGGTGGAGGTAGAACAATGTTGCAATTTGTAGTAAAATAATGGGTCCTATTGAATGTCAATGTAACATGTAACCAGTATCAGCAAAAGACAACATTGTATATCTGGCATAGCAGCACTTCATAAGGTATTGAGAGGATTGACATCAATTGAAGGGGGGGTTGGGGGGGGGAATAGGTTGAGAAAATTAACTCAATGTGAGACTTTTTGGATACATAAATTGTGTACACTGGAGCCGAATGGTTTGAACATGGATATTGATTTGTTTCTTATAGTTTCTTTTGCCTCCCTCCCCCCTTTTTTTATCTCCAGGTCTCCTTTTTTTCTGGTTTCTTGTGGTTTCTTGCTTTTTAAGGTATTTCCCCCCCTTTTTGGTTTAGCTTGCCATCCCCCCCCTTTTTTGGGGAAGTTTTTGGGATTTTTGGTAAGCGTATGGTTTTAGGTTAATACTCTTAGTCCTGGTGGCGGTTCACCTAGGGTCTTAATCTGATTAGTATTATATATGTTAAGGGGTTAATTGACACTGGGCTAGTGGTTGCTCCAAGTCTGTTCTTTTTATAAGATATATGGGAATGTGGATAGTTTGACACTGTCCTATGTTTTCATTAGAAATTAGTTTTCACTCCAATTACTGATCATCATACATTTATTAAAAAAAATAAAAGTTGAAATAGAGAAAGGTTGTACTAGGATAGCATCTTTTTATTGTCTCAAAATTAATGGTATCATTTGTCCTGTCCTTTAATATTTGCAAGGGAAATGTGTAATTTTGAAATGCAAACTTTTATTAGCACACGTTTCACAGACAATGTACTGTTTGCCCGATTTAACTGACTTCTAATTGCCTGCAATTTATACTGGAGAAATATCTTGTCCAGCTAACCTTTTATGTTCCCTTATAGTGTAGTGCTGGTGTTTTACTTACGCTTATACTAAAAGTGACATTTCTTGGAATAGTTTTATAGTGCAATAACATACCTAGAATTCAGGAAGTGGGTGTGTTCTTTTTCTAAATAGATACATTATTTTAATATATTGTAGTTCTGCTTATGACTTTCCATGCTGTGTCTTAGTTATTTTCATCGTACCCACGTAAACAAAAAAACTTTATTCTATGCATTTATATTTTTCCTAGAATTCTGATTATTTTGCATTACTTGAAAATACCAGTATTTTCGAGGTATTTTAAAAGCTTTAATTAAATGTTGTTTTTTTAATTAGCTTGCTTCTTTTTTTAAATTGTGAAGCAATGAATTTGACCAAATTACCAAAAGACCCAAAAAGTGCTTATAGCTTTAACAACAAACGTTAGAAAAAACAACAACAATCTCATCATTTATAAAAATGTAAACTAATATCATGCTTATTTGTGTTTCTTTTTCCCTAATTTTTTTTTTTTTTTTTAGTAATAGTCTGTGTGTAAATTATTTTTGAAAGTTAATTACCCAAAGTAAATTGGAAGCAGCAAAGTTTTGGCAAAATCTCTGTAGCTAATTGATAACTGTTGATTAAGATAAAATTAACAAACTATTTGGGGATGTCAGTGTGGGGTCTATACCTCAGGTGACCTGCTTTGGCCTGCTTGGAACCTTTGTGTATTCCATGAAAAAATAATAATAAGAAGAATATTTTTTCATTACTGAAGTCAAAGTGGACATTTTGGGGAAAAAAATCTCCTGCTCCAATTTATTTCACTTCTGCTAGCTCAGCCTAAATTCACAAGCAGCTTTTCACAGACACCAATTAGGTTATCTCAGACTAAATAAAAGACCTCATTTACTTTCATTCACTTTTTGGTAACATTTCTTGATTTAGTGAATTTGTTTAGTGAATTAATTTCTTAATTGGAGAACTATTTGTTACTTTTCTCATTAACAAAATTGCAGAGGTTGGGTTATGCTCTGGGAAATATTGGAAGATTGTAAACCTTAGGTCTTGGTATTCATGTGGATGTTACTTTGACATGTACCACCTACGTAGAGATTGTTGCAGACCATGTACACCACTTCATGGCTATGGTGTTCCCTGATGGCAGTGGCCTCTTTCAGCAGAATAATGTGGCTGGAGGCTGGGATGACGTGCGTTTCATGCCGAAACACATGCCGGACTTCTGGGTAGTTGTCTTATCATGAAAATAACATCACTTCCGATTTTGGTCTAGGTAGTAATACGTGGTAATGTGATGAAACCACCCATATAATTGGTGGAATTGTGGGAATGTATATCATGCAAAAACAAAATGCAAAAAACAGAAAGCAAAAAGCAGAATAGCCCTTCCTATTACAGTTCTAATAGTGCGATCCAAGATACAACCATAACAGTAAGGCAGAGCACAGCAGCTTTATATATACTAAATGATAATGATAAAGAATATCATATATATAAATGAAAATTTGTATATATAAAAATATATAAAAAATAAAAAAATAAAAATCTATATCTCTAAAAATACAACTAATAATAATGAGGTTAAAAATAATAAAGCTAAGTATAGAAGATCTAATAGCTGTAGCGCTAAGCCTTGTACAAATCAATGCTCATAATACATATCCAGTGAATATACAATTTGGTGATATTTACAATTGTTTCCCCCTTTTTGGTTTCATTTTGGTTAACATTCTTTATTTACTGATGTTCACGTAAAAAAATATATATATATATATATCTATTATGAATAAGAAAAATGCAAATTATGGTTGAACGCAAAACAGAAAAAAAAAGAAATTTTTTTTTCTGTTTGTGTTCAACCACAATCTGCATTTTTCT